CCACCAATTCCCAACTCGGAGAGCCTCCCCAGGAGGATACCGTGGTCGACGGTATCAAAGGCCGCTGAGATGTCGAGGAGGACCAGCAGAGAGATTTTGTCCTTGTGTGCCTCCCTCAACAGGTCATCGTACAGGGCAACCAATGCCATCTCTGTATTGTGGCACGGCCTGAAGCCTGACTGAAATGGATCCAGGGCATCTGTTTCATCCAAGTGTGCTTGAAGCTGATCGGCCACCACCCTCTCGACCACTTTGCTCATGAAAGAAACGTTGGCGACAGGCCTATAGTTGCCGATTTCATCCTCCGCCAAACTAGGTTTCTTTCTTATGGGCCTAGTGAATGTCTCCTTGAGGGCAGATGGAAATCTGCCCTCAAGGAAATACCCATTTATTACTGCAGCGGCCCATTCTGTTGTTATCGGCCTGGCTGCTTTGATTAGCCAGGCCGGGCAAGGGTCGAGGGAGGAGGTGGTGGCTCGACAGTGACCAAGCACCCTGGCCACAGTGTCAGGTGTTACAGGCTGAAAGGAATCAAAAGTCACTGGGCAAGACGGAGCACTGGACATCTCAGCTCGACTCACTGTATTCAAAAAAGGAGAGAGCTCCCGGCGGATGGCCTCCACTTTAGATTTTAAAAAGGCTGCAAACTGGTCAGGTGAAAAACTAGGGGGAGGCCTATCATCTGAACCAGTTCCGGATAGGTCGTGAACTATAATTGAAAAGTAGTTTTCTCTAAACTGTGGTTTCTGGATGCAAAAATTATGGTGTGACAGGATTTAAAAAAACCTGTTCATATGTCCTCCAAACACAACAGAAAAAGCAATGTCAGTTTAATGAACTTTGGTGGTCTCCTGAGCACTAGCCTTCCTTGCATCCCAATTGCCTCTTTCGCACACAGCGGTTCGTTCTGACAACATCTGTGAGGGATCAAGAGGACATAACCCTTTTTATGCAATGCAGCTGCCACAAAGCTACTTATTTCCACTATTTGTTTAGCATCCATTAGCAACATTCTTCAGCCAGTTAATGATAAAGATCACAGATGGAACATAGGACTCCTCCCACAATCCTCATCATGTGTCAGGCAAGGTGGGAATTGACGTCAGTGGAGTTGTGCTTGCTCGAATAGGTACTAGATGTGTCTTTGCACAAGTTCCAAAAAAGCTCCATGCAGTGTTGCACCCAGGATGAAAGGCACAATAGGTTTTCAGCCCAAATGTTTCAAGCATAAAAACCCAGTCAAGCCATAATCACGTGACTGGGTAATATAAAAATGAATGAAACTCACAACACTAAGCATAAATGGGCAAAGCTGAAACCACTAAAAGAGCTTAAGACCAGACAGAGAGAAAGGCTAAACCTGATGCTGAAAGAAAGAAAATGTAGGTGGCAGGCAAACTTCTATGAGGGGGTCATTCTTTCCACAAGTGTGGCATCATTGCTTAGAAGGCCATCTCTCCAGTAACTCGCTGTTGTCTCTCATTTGGCAGAGGAACCCTGTGGCCCAATATCTGAGGCTCTATTTGAGATGGGCAGTGCAATCCTCTGCATGTTTGCCAAGAAGTAAGTTCCTGTGTGTTCAGAGGGGCTTCCTTCTTACTAAATGTATTTAGGAATGTAAACCTTTTTCTTTGTCCATAAATGCTCTTCCTTCTGTTCAACAAAGATTGCAAATCGAATGTCTGCAAAGTATGCATATATGCAGTGTTCTTAAACTTACAAAATTCAGTGAGCACATAGATTTTAAGTGTTTCAGTTTCTGCATTTCAGAGAAAAACAAATTCAATGTATTCTCGAAGGCTTTCGTGGCTGGGATCTGATGGTTGTTGTGGGTTTTCTGGGCTCTTTGGCCGTGTTCTGAAGGTTGTTCTTCCTAACGTTTCGCCAGTCTCTGTGGCCGACCCAGAGCACAGACAGAGTTCTGACTCCTGTCCTCTGAAGATGCCGGCCACAGAGACTACCAAAATGTTAGGAAGAACAACCTTCAGAACACGGCCAAAGAGCCCAAAAAACCCACAGCAAACAAAAGCAAATTATCTTGCTGAAAAATCTCCATAAAAGTGAAAGCCTTGCTGGAAACATTGTAGTTCTACAGATGAGCCACTTGTTTTCAAAGGCAGATATTTTTTCATTCATATGGTTGCATCCTTATACATTGTATTTTATGGAGGAGCCAAACCTTGATTTCTTGCTGTTTGGCTCTTGATCCTTGCTTTGCCATTTGGATCAGGGAGGGCATTTGCTTTTATAGCTGGAGCAAGCACTGCGAGGAGAAATGGAAGGAAGCACCCTGTTCCTGCAGATGAGGCAGCAGTTTAAAGAGGATGAGAAGGTGTACAAGCGCAAGCTGCAAGCTTTCCAAGATGGGCAGCAGCGCCAGGCTCAGCTAGTGCAGAAGATGCAGAATAAGGTGGGTAGAAGGACCTTGGCCAGGCTTCCTGAATGGCAAAATGAAGGGTCTCTTGGATGAATTCCCTAAGAACTGAACAGTGAAACTGCAAAAGTTTTCCTTTTACCGTTTTAGTCCTGGTTTCTCCATTTAAAAAACATAGGCGATTCATCTCCTTGGACCAGTTATCAGTTCTTTCCAGCTTAGATTGCAATATGGATGCAGAATATAGGTTAGACTTTGAAATGCAACCTGCAACCCAATGCTTTTGGGAAAGTATCTCATCAGTGTCATTTATTATTTTAAAAGTACTGTAATTAATTACATAAAATGTTACTGATGTGTTACTTTTGTACTTGCTTTTTACCTTTTAGAAAAGCGCATTAAAATATAGACATTATCCCCTCTGACTCTCCCAGCAAAGTTGTAGGGATAATTAGCAAACACTACTTGTTATGCTCCTAAAGGGCTGTAATGAGTTGTCATGTCACTTTTTAAAAGTAACAGCCTTATTAGTGTCATTATCCAAAAAGCATTAGTTTGTAGGCAGTCTAGTTACTTGTAATACATTACTTCAAGATCAAATACAATTTATCCTATTATGCATCATAAACCTAATTCAACATTTTGCCAATAAAGCAACAGTTTGGAGGATGAGGTGTACACAAATGTTGTCCAGACAAGCATAGAACCAAAGGTGGACGTTCTAAGTCATTGTTCAGAATCAGTCACAGGCTGGTTAAGGGCAGACAGACTGAAATTTAATCCAGATAAAAGGGACATACCTGAGCTACTTGTCTGGAAAAAAAGGGATTTATTTGTTCAGCCTGTTGAGGGCGGGATTACAGTTTCTTTGAAGAACTAGGTTTGCTGTTTGGAAGGCTGTTGAGCCTTTTGGAAATTCCAAAAGCATCTTGGCTAGGAATTACTTTGTCATGCTTATGCCAACTGCAACCATTTCTGAAGAATGTATATCTAGCTGTAGTCACATACCAGATACATATCTTCATCAAGCCTGGATTATCGTAAAGTGCTCTGCAGGAGAGACTGCTTTTAACAAGTTCCTCACAACTTTAGCTGAATGTATCTGATTATTGCATTTCCTTGCTGCTGCACCATGTTTCATTTCACTGTTAGGCTCCATTCAATGTTAGCTCTATTTTACTTTTGATGTCCTTACATGGCTTAGGACCAAGATTCTGAAGGTACTGCCTTCTACCACGTGTTGCTGTCCTCTCTCTGGGGTCATATGCAGAGGCTCTCTCTTTGTACATCCCATCAACAACAGAGGCCAGCTTGGTCAGGAAGCATCAGCGTGCCTCTTTGTTACTAGTCCTCAACTTTGACTTGCCTCTTCCCCCGGGAGATACAAGTGTCCCCATCCTATGACAATGTCAACTGTGAGGATTTTTGTTACTCCATAAAGTAGTACTGTAGCAAATCCAGGACTTACAGGGCAGAAGCTCCAAGACTTTGTAAGTTGCAGGGCAATGGCATCATCTTCCAGTCCCCTGAGGCTTTCCTGTTTTCCTCTAAGTTTAGCTGCAATCTTCACAATAGCTGCAGAGATATGGCATTACAGGAACAATATATTGTTGCAAGCTATCCTCCTTGTAATGCCAAGGATTTGAGGTCTCTTCGATGTTGACTTGGCAGTTAAAAGCCATTAGAGTGACAAAAGACCAGTTCTTTGTTTGTTGGTTCAACTGTTTGCATGTTTGGGCTCTTCTTATGTTGGGGCTGGTTACAGGGGTTTTATGATGAGCATCAGTACCATTTAATTTTCTACTACAGCACTGCCCAAAAGGCATTCATCCTGCTTCAGCCTGAACAGGATAGTGGGTAGATAAATCTAACAAAGCAAAAACAAATCTTATGGCACATTAAGACTTTTATTTTTTAATACTTTAAAGACTAACAGATTTTTTAAGGCATATGCTTTTATGGACTACAGCCCACTTCATCATCATGCACTGATAAAATTCCCTTAATCTAGTGAAGTTTTATTTACGTCGTAGGCTTGAAGTCTTCAGACAAAATTTGTTAGTCTTTAAGATGCTACAAGACCCTTTATTTTTTGTGATTAATATTCTTCTCTGATTGACTGGTTTGTGTTTTGCTTAACCCCATGATACCATTTGGTTTTATTCTTTGCTGTCTTCTGTGTGTTCAACCCTGTTTTTCATCTTCCCTTCCCTCCTCATTTTATTCATTTTGTTGTTACTGTAAGTCCCCCTGAGTGCCTCACACTGAGGCAGAAAGGCAGGAAATGAACATTTGGAACAAAACGAAATAAATGGTGAGGAGCAATGGAGTTTAAAATCTGTTCTGCTCTTGAACTATTTAGACAAATAATTTGCCATGTAAACAATATAGAAGAGGCTGGAGGGCGAGGGGTGCCAGCTCAGTGTTCATAAGGATGGGTTCTTAAAAAATACGCAATAGCTGTTGCAAAGTATACCATAAGTTAAAACATAGGAAACACCTCACTATATGTTTTGATGGTAAAAATTGAAGAAAGATACAGTATCAATATTCAATTACAGGGGGAGAAACCCAGTGTTATTCCAATGACACTATGCTATTGAAACCAACTGGACCTGTTTGTCACAAGTAATGTATATCCTGATTTCGATGGGCCTGTTCTAGTTGAGACTATCACTGATTTTAGCCCCCTAATAAACCTGTATTACCTTTTTAATTGTGTTTGAAGGAATCTCTAATAGGAACTATGCTTGAATTTCTGTAGGGCCAAATCAGTGCTGAGGACAGAGACATGCAAGTAAACCCAACTCCCTACATCCCCCCCTGCTTAGCAAGACTTTTACCTGTTTCATGCAAAATTCTGCAAAGAAGCCTATTTATAAGCACATACAGATAAACATTTTTCAAGCACTCGTGTAATCAAAAACTCCAATAAAGCTGAGATTCCATTCATAGCAGCACTGTAAGCATTTTCAGCTGAATGTGCATATAGGCTCTTTTGCAACATTCAAAAAATACATAAAAGTCTTATTAACTTCTGGATGGTGTGGGGGACATGGTTTATATCTCCACATCTCCACCACCCACTTAGTCTTAGGATTTTATCTACTTTTTAATATCATAATTATTGTTTATTATTTAATCTTACTTTATGTTGTGGATGCTTTTATTGTAGGCCACCCAGAGTAGTGACTTGGCCCCTTGACGGGTGGAGTGAAAATTGAATAAAATAAAATAAATAAATAAATCAGCCTTAATAAGCCCTAGGCATCATGCCTGAACAGGGCTAAGAAGGTTCCCAATGTTGCATGAGTTGTGCATTCAACCAAACATGCTTACAAAGGCCTCTTAAGCACTTTGTGCTGGATGTCCAGAAGTTGACATCTGAAGGCAATGTTGAGGATGATGTTCCCAGAGTGAGGGTAATATCCCCTGCACAGTTACAGCCATCCCTGCTTCCAGGCTATAATAGTTGCATAGTGCTGTAGTGTCAAATGGCTTCCTAGATGTGTGAGACATCATTCCTGAATCTCTCAAGAATTTATGTTTTTTTTTTAAAAAAAATATTATTTATTTTTTTCATTTATACTGCCCCATCGATAGGAAAAATCTCCAGGAAGTTCACAACTCATCCAAACATAATTAGACTCATACAACAAATGCACAAAATCAGTAAATACAGTAAAACACTGTCTCTAGCTTAATTGATAAAATCTGCATTTAAACGAATTAAAGAAATATAATTGGACATCCTGAGTCAATTATTAAAATTCTAGTAAATGGCATCTTTATACAGTTTGTTTTTAATTAACTTCCTGAAAACTGAGAGGAATGGCGCCTGACAAACCTCTGTAGGAAACTTATTCCAGAAGGAAGGAGTCATGACTGAGAAAACACAATTCCTGGTATTAGCCCTTTTGACCTTCTAAGATGTCATAATTTTTAACATCAAAGTTTGTGAGGAGCAGGTGGGAGAGGTAGCCATTTTGTAGGAGAGATTTTCCAAGAAGTATTGAAGCCCTAAAACATTGGGAGCTTCATAGGTTGTAACCAGCACCTTGAATTGGGCATAGAAACTACCCCGTTGCCCCGAAAATAAGACCTAACCTGAAAATAAGCCCTAGTATGATTTTTCAGGATGCTCGTAATATAAGCCCTACCCCCAAAATAAGCGCTAGTTAAGTGAAACCCCACCCTCCACTATTGTGCAGCAACCAGAAGAAGATGATATGACTGTGTTTGAATAAATGTAGATTGTTGTACATGAAAAAGACATCCCCTGAAAGTAAGCCCTAATGTGTGGGTTTTTTTTTTTTTTTTGAGTAAAAATTAATATAAGACCCTGTCTTATTTTCAGGGAAACACGGTTAACAGGGAGCCAATGAAAGTGTCCCAAGACTTGGGATATGTGTTCATATCAGCTGGTACCTGTAATCATTCTAACAGCCATGTTTTGGATCTGCTGGAGTTTCCATATCATCTTTAAGGGCAGCCCTATGCAGACAGCATTACAGTAGTTTATTTTAGAGGTTAGCAATAAATGAACCATCACCATGAGGCATTTCACATCCAGGTAGGAGCGCATCTGTGTAATCAGACAGAGTAGATAAAAGGTACTCTTGGGCACAGCAGATATTTGTGCCTCCATAGAGAAATCTGGGCCCATGCCTTTTGCATCACGATAAGCTTTTTGTTTGTACTACCCATCTTCCAGGCTCTTTCTAGGTATTTCCTGCATGTATTTTAGTTTCTTCTGTACCCAATTCATAAACTGAGCCACAGGGATGGGATTTTTAGCCATATTTCCCTCCCTTCATTTAACAACAACAACATAAAGGAAAGTCATGACGGCCTGCTGAAAGATGTCCACAGGAAAAGGTGGGGAAGGGGGAATGAAGGGGAGTGTTGTTACTCAAAAGGGGGACAAATTGGGGTAATCCCAAGACTTGTGTGGACCCTTCTCATGGGAGAAGAAATATCTATCAGTGTGAATGGAAGGATCATTCAAATGAGCGATAAAATAGATTGCACTACAAATAAGAACATTTTAAGTGTCAGCTTCCCCCATCTGGACATACTCTTAAGTTGTGTTATTTGGGCCACTGGTTCCTTTCTTTGTCTTCTTTTGCCTTCTCCCAATTCTTACCTAGACCTTTTACCCTTTTCCTGGTTTAGATGTTGCAGTACAAGAAAAGATGCGGAGAACTGGAGCAGCAACTGCTGGAAAAAACGTCTGAGTGTGAGCATCAAAAGCAGACGGTCTGTATAGTGTTTTTTTTCCTTGCTATAAATGATAATGATGAAGTTTGTGGCAATATGACAGCTATCAGCTAGCACTATGAGTATATTACTTTCTCAACATGCCATGCTGATATATCAAGACTGAGGGCTAGGGCTAGCTTAATGATATCATTTGGCAGAAATCCTGTATAGTTTATAATTTAAACAGGCCCATGGATTCCATGAACATCCAGTGCTTCTCGGTAATATGGGGGCCATATATGTGGACAACCAATAGGCACTTCATTTCATGAAAGACTTCTTGAATTTAGAGGCTCTTGTTTTGGATTTCGTGGATTTCCTTGGTGCTCATTGGTCTCGGTGTCATACTTGTTTAGTATGTATAGAGTATCCTGTTATATATGAGGTAATTATTTCCTCCAAACAGTCATTATGCACACCATCTTTTATTACTCTGTGTTAAAGAAACAGCCCCTCTGTTCTAAAACAGATTTGTTCCTGTTTAGTAGAATCATAAAGACAAATCTACAAAGGTCCATTATTCCAAGGTTAAAATAATCCTTCATGTTTGATCTTCTTGTATGACCACCACTGGCCTTTGAGCAACTCCTAATGACCACCATTAAGATTTGGACCTGTCACCCCCCCCAAGGGCTTTTCACAACCCCGAACGACCATTGTAGAGATCATCACCATGCTGGACATTTTGCATTTCTGCTACATTTCATATTCCCCTCTTACCCCATTTGTCTAAATCTCTGTGCATAAAAGTAAAACTCTGTGCATCTGAAGAAAGTGGTTACAGTACACAAAAATTATGGCATATAAAACTTGTTGGTCTTTATGGTACCACAATTTCATTATTTTTGTTGCTTCATATATGCGGCTCACAACTCATTGACTGTATGCAAAACCAGACATGGATCAGGAGAACAGATGTGATACCAAGGGACACCAGTGTATTATAGTCTCCTCAAGTTTTGAGGTGGGGAAAATGACAAACATTAGCGTATTTTTCCCTCTAGCATTGGCAATAAGACACATTCTTAATATGGTTGCAATAAGAAGATAAGTTTGAAAAAGGTTCTGTAAGTGAGCAAAGGTTTTTCATATAGAAGGATGCATTTTAATCAGAAGTAATTAAATTGGTAGGTGTTCGAAGAAGAAGTTGTCTAGACAAAAAAGGCAGGAGCATGCATGCATGGACGCTTTAGCAATGGTTTATAAATGAGCATCTTGAAGTTACTGTAAAAAGATATTTTGTTTCTTAAGCCTTAAGAGCTGTTCTTCTTACAGTGAAACAATGAAAGGTCAGACTTAGACAATACTCTTTTTTTAAGGAAAGATACTCTTGTCAAGTAATGAAAAGCATCTGTTTGTCATAGCCTGTGATTTTCCTGAAGCACGCATCTTTCATTTAGCATGCTTTGTCTTGAGACTGGTCATTGGACAATAAAATAGGGCTTTATATGTACATATCCTGCCAACCTAGCAGTTCGAAAGCATGTAAAACTGCGAGTAGATAAATAGGTACCACCTCGGTGGGAAGGTAATGCCGTTCCGTGTCTTGTCACACTGGCCACATGACCACGGAAGCTGTCTATGGACAAACCTGGCTCTACAGCTTGGAAACGGGGATGAGCAACGCCCCCTAGAGTCAGTCATGACTGGACTAAATGTCAAGGGGAACCTTTACCTTTACCTTACACATCTCTGAGGGTGTTCTGTTGTAGAAATGGAAACATTATAGAGAAATATGCATTTGCCTTTAATGCCTAGTTTGATTCAAAGCTCTTTGGTGACACCTTGAAGACTAACTGGCGTTATTTAGAATAGGCTTTTGTGGGTTGCAGCACACTTTTTCAAATGCAATTACTGTATCTACCTTTTTTCCAGTGTGGTGTAGTTGAGAGAGGACTCTGGAGAACAGGGTTCAAATCCCCACTTGGTCATGGAAACTCACTGGGGGAGTGTAACTGGTAAAACAACTCCTTAAGTATCTCAGTTGCCTTGAAAGCTCTATTAGGATCACTATAAGTTGGTTGCAACTTGACAGCACAGCACATGCGCACATGCGCACATGCTCGCATACACACACTTTTTCTCTAAGGTTCAGTAAGCTCAAAAATTAGTTATTACTTTTAAATATAGGGTTTCAGGATTTTCAAATAGTCATCATGTTGCCTTAAACAGATTCTGTGCACATGATCCTGTGTATGCAAATAGGCGTGTTTTCCAAACTTCCTGCAACAAAATTATTCTGTGCCTTAATTATTGCTGTTACTCACTCTGTCACATCTCCTCCCCTTTAGCTGCAGACAAGGTTAGACTCTACAGAGTCACGTTTACACCGCTTTGAACATGATCATAGCACAGAGCTGGAGAGCACCCTCCTCGGCCTTGAAGAAGAACAGCAAAGGTAAGGCTGCTGCTTGCTTCCGGTGGCTTGTTCATTTTATTTAGTCAATACATTGTCCTTCAGCTAAATTGTTTCGGAGCCAATAAAACTTGATTACTGCAACCTGTTAAGTGTATGTAAAGATTATGCATACTAGCTAAGAGTTGTAGTCCAACACATGGGGAGTGGAGGACAAAGAATTAGAGAAGATTGTTCTGGCTGCTTGAGATACAGATGAATATCTATATGTAACTGGACATTCATCTGCTGGTAACATTGTATGTCTTTCACTGAAGATCATAATGTGACTTATGTATTTCAGTCTTAAGTCAAACATCGTACATCTCAGTGGTGAATTGCCTCTAAGGCGTTGACATGTAGATTTTTTGTCATATGCTACTTACATGACTTGCAATAGGATTCTGCCCACTGTGTTCTAGACCAGCAGATTTTGCATGTCATGAAAAGGCAGGCCATGGCCTTTTTAGGAGCTCTTTTCAGGCTCCTGTTAAACAAGGATACAGCACAAACAGATGAATAGAAAAATAGAATAGAAATATTTTCAGTCTGCGGCTTCCTTCAGATGTGCCAGGACCTCCCAGGGGGCCATAGAGCCCCTTTTGAGAATGGCTGTTCTAGACACAACAAGTCCAGATTTAGTCCCTTACACCCAGTGTCATAGCAGGCAGTTATGAGGCAGAGTTTGGCAGCAGATTTTGCATGTCATGAAAAGGCATCAAATGGTTAAATATTTTATTTGTTGTTGAATTTTTCCTATCAGGGATAGGGAGAGATGCTTGCTTGTGGGATTTTGTGTGTGTGTGTGTTGTGTCCCAAAATAATCTGGCTAGCTTTTGATTCTATACAAGTTGATTGTACCCTTTGCTGTTATGCCTCAGGGATCAAGATTTCTGGGATCAGACCTTTCTAAACAATCTTGCCATAATCTCCAGAAACTCAGGACCAAAATATAGATGCAGGTAGCAGGTAATGAGAAAGTTGAATCCATTAGTGTTCCCTGCAGGCAGACAAATTTTGGGTCTGAGCTGTCATGGTTGCAAAGAAAGTCAGTAATTGCTTCATGATAATGAATTGCTTGGGAAAACATGCTTAGTGTGGGAGGTGTGAAAATATGCTGCTGTGACAACCAGGTATATTCATTACTTAAGGAATGCTGCCTTCTAATGAAGTGCTGTCTGCAATGTATAGTTTGACACTGTTTACACATCTGTAGATTGCATGGTAACTTCAGCTTTCATTTCTGTGCTGAATGATTGCAACTTGTTTATAGCCTTATACTTCACTAGTGGTCAGATTTAGTTCTCAATTAATATTCCCCTATTTTATGCTCATCAATGTGTGAGACATGCCAATCTTTTAAACTCACCCCATCTAGATAGGAAGCCAAGAAATAAATGTTGTTACCTAAAAGGTCATGGGCCTAAACCAGATGAAAGGTTTCTGATTTGATTATTTTACTTCTATTTATTTCATTGATTTATATATTGTCCATTAATGTGATGCATTATTCTCAGTAGTTAACAAATGATAAACTCAAAGACACATTTACAAAGAAACAAAGAGATTCATAAAAGTAAAAGTCAACATTTCATAATAAAATGGCAGGGCAAAAACTAAAAAATCATACGAAGTTGCAATCAGAAGCATCTCTGAAGAGCAATGTCTTCAGCTTAAAAGTGGCCAGGGAGGGGGCCAGATGCAACTCGGCTGAGAGCTGGTTCTAAAGGGTTGGTCCCATAGCCAAGAAGGCCTAGCTTCTGGTTGATGACTCAGAGGAGCATTTCTTGGAAAGAACTGGTGGTGCAAGTAGATGATCTTGGGGAAAGACTTTCCGCCAAGTAGCAGGGTCCCAAACCGTGGAGGGTTTCTTAGGTGAGCACTAAAAACTTGAACTTGACCTGGGACATGTTAATGGACTTTTGTCATAATAGACCACTCAGTGGCATATCTTTGAAAAAGCTACTTTCCAAACACACACAAGAAAGTTTTTAAAAACATGAACTGCAATATTGACAGAATATGCAAGAAAATTAAATAACAGGTTTTATTTTCTTCCTTGTTGAAATCTTCTTTACCTTGGTTGAAGCCCACCAAACATGGGAGGAATTTCACAATTGCATCCAGGTGTTTAATTTCTCTCACTTACTGGAAACAAATATGTTTTTTTTAAAATTAAAATTAATGTGTGGCTATCCATTGGGACCCCCTCCCTATGGGCTGAAAAGTGATACACAATTTTTTTAAAAATAAAATCAATAAATCATGAATGGGGTGGGATCACCTACTTTTAACTACGGCCTCATCCACTGCTGGTTTTAACTCCACCCATCACCTTAGAAGAATTATTCCCAATTAATCACACTCCCCAAGAATGCCGGAAAAGTTTCCCAACCCTCAGGGCAGAGGATAAGTTTCTTCCCAACTGTTCCCTGCAAAAGAGAGAATGTGCCAGTACAGCTATTGTTAAGATAGTTTGATAGAAGGACATAAGGCCATTGATGAGTTCTTGAACATAAAAGAACCATTATATGCCCTGTCGTGATCGTGGAAGAAAACATTGTCCTTGGCTAAAGGGTTTTGTTTTGTTTTTTGCCCTAGAAGCACCAGCCTTTCCAAGATGAACACTCTGCTTCGGGAACAGCTGGACCAAATGAAATCCTCAAAACATAGACTAGCAGGGGAGCTAGAGAGGGCAGTGGCTGATGTGCAGAGGCTGAAGAGTGAACTGGAACAGAAGGAGTCTCAGTGGCACAAGGGCAAAGAGGTAAATGCTATTGCTTACATTTAAAAATGTCTTTCTACATCAGCATTAGAGAGCCATATGTTTCACAATTGATGGTGTGAACATCATTGATGGTGTGAACATCAATGGACATGCCCTAGCAGCTTTCCCCAACCTGTCAGCCTCCGGATTTTATATACTACAACTTCCATCATCCCTGTGGGTCATGATGTGGCACAGCTTGAAAATAACTACAGTACTCATTATCACTTAAGTGATGGAATGAGTTGTTTTAAACTTGCTTTATGTGCAACAAAAACACCTAGTTACTTTCAAAAGTTCCTTTTTGCAACATTTTAAAGCACTTTGACAGGAATTTTAAAGGTATTATGGCACTATCCATCCTAACTGTCAAGAGAAGTATTATTTTTTATCTATCATAACCTTACATGGCCTCTTCCTTCTAATCTTCAGTCAGCAACATATTTTAACACATGACCAACTCTCATTAGTGCCATTTTGTTTCTTGTTGTAATTTAGAAAATACATACAATACATCTAATACTCCTCCATTATGCCTGCACTTCCATTAATATTTTTCTTCACATTTTGCTCTGTGTTAAATTGATTACAGTAAATCCATACGGAAAAATCTCACATTCTTTTTTTCTATTGGAAATTTTCCTCTGGTACATCTGGGCTATGAGAAGGTCATTGGCTCCTTGATGTATCTGCCCATGGGGAGAACAGAGATTCTTCCAATGCTCATACTAAGGCTACAACTACAAGTTCAAAATGTATGAATTTGATTTTTTTTAAAAAAATCTGATCACATGACACAAGGGCCAATTCAAATCATTTTGCTTCAAACAGATTTTTTTTCCTCTGCCACTGGCGGCCTCTACTTTTTTCAAGCTCATATGATCCAAAGGATTTTTCCCATGTGAGCAGTTGTTTCATTATGCAAAATGACAGGGTTGATGTACATGTGTGGTATTGTGATGGCATAGACAGTTGGGACATGATGTTTAGAAACAGCAGGAACACCTACCTCTGTCCCCCAAGTGTACCAGATTTTTTTAAAAAAATTAAATAAACAAATTTAGCACTGAGTCATTGCATTGTTATACTAGTTTAGTACTCGATCAGTATAGCACAGGAAAAAAAATCATCCTAGAGTTCAGAGCCCCCACAATCTCACAATCTGTAGTTTTTCCTCCCCACTAGAAACCCTTCTACTTTTAAAAAGTCAAATCCCTTTGCTTTTTCTCATGCAGAAAGGAAAGACCAACCAAGCATGGACAGAAACAAACACAAACAAAGCAGTGCTTTGGCAAAGCAATTTCCCCCTAGCCTCCTGTCTCATGAGAGAGGACAAGGAGTGTGTGTGTGTGCACACAGAAATGCACACAAGCAGTGCTAGCATTCATCTCTCTCCACAAAGCCTTTGTTCCAATACACCACCACCACTACTTCTTCTTCTTCTCCTTCTACCTTCTCCTCCTTATTTGTTTTTTTACAATGTTATCTGGTTAGCGAGATAAGATGAAGAAATAGTCATTGAGGGTGGAAAGCCTTCTTAAAGCAGTTCCTTTGAACAGTGCCATTTACAGGTGCTGTTCAATTAAAAGGGTTTTTTTTATCCTCTGCCTGTGCAGTCACTTATATAGAAGAGAACCAAACACCCTGTGACTTCACAGTGAGAGAATGCAAGGTAATTCACATTTCCATCACTGTGTAGTCACATCCTAAAGCTTTCTTGGCAAGATGCCCTTGATTCTGTTACTTCAAAGATAACTATTTGTAATCTTAATACTATATAGCCTGTAAATACTGCCTGTAAACAAACTGTGTACCAAAACGTGTAATGCTTGACTTTTGTTCATCACTTCTTTTGTTGGGTCAACACAGCCTATTCATTTTTAAGTGAGAGCTGTTACACTGGAGTCATTTATTCCTTTTGGCTTCTTGCTCATTTGGCATTGGTTCATTCTTTTTAGGAGTTTCAAATCACTAACCTTGAATATTCCTATCTCTACATATTTCTGAAGGAAAAGGTCTCCTTCTTCCCATACTGGCCTATTTTCATAGGACCTACATTTTTTAAAATTTTCTCCCTGGATTCAGTCTGTTTTGGCTTGGAAGCCATTTATACTTCCCAGGACAAGAATAATGATTTTGCCCATTCTGGTTCCATATGTTGCTGAGAACCATTTAACCCAGTTCCAGATTATCTCCAGAGTCATATGTTTGCCAAGTATTTCTGGACGCCAGTAGTCAGTTGCAGTAGTGCCCCAGTTAAAATTGCTGTTGAATTACCCTTTTGTGGAGCTGAGACCACCAAGGCTTTGATGGAACCATTCCAATATTTTCAAAGGGCTTCTCTGTGAGATTGGGACTGAATCTAATGGGAATATTGAAAATTCCAGTTCTAAACAGCAAAATTTATTAGGATGTTGGTGCTGATTCAGATACTGCATTAGAATAACCCAAATGTACAGTATAGATCAACAGGCACTGAGACAAGCTCATTTATACAGCAGAATATTAGCTCATATATATTTTGGCCAAGCTCTGAGCTCAGAACTCTTATTTGCTCAGCCAGAGTTGATGCCAACCTCACTACAGCATGGGTGAGGAAGCATGCCCTGTGTTTTAAGTTCGGCAGTTCTGTTGTATGTTTTGAGGGTGGTAGAGCCGTATCCCTGCCCAGTTGGAAAGTACAATTTATTGGAAACTGAAGGTCAGTCACACATTAGTTAGTTAGTTAACATTCCTTTTATTCTGCTTTTCATGGAATCAGCAGCAGCTTTCAAAACAAAGAAGGAATATAAAATCAACTCAGTCATTTCCAGAAGGGTTGTCTTCTTAAGTTTATTAGAAGAAAATCAACAAAAGATCTCTTGCACCTTAAAAATATAGGAAAATAAAAAGGTGCCATGTACTCGATCAGATCACTGATTCATATCTAGACCAGTATTGTCAATTCTAACAGGCAGCAGCTATGAGGTTTTATGTGGCATAAGTGTTTGTGGACTGCTGCCTACTTCACCTGATGACTTTCAATCAGGTATAGGTAAATACTGTGGTATTATTTATTTACTTATTTATTTTAATTTATATGCTGTCCACACTACCCAAAGGTCTCTGGGTGGCTTACAACATTAAAAATTCAATAAACATTCAGAACAGTTAAAATACAATTAATTTGGAACTTCTAGTTAATTTGTTCCAGGTACTGGCATTGTATTTCCCATGCTTCATATGTGTTCCTGTTACTCATACAAGATTTTCAACAGAATGTGGGAATACTGATGGACTGGAACCTACCGCAGGCCAGTCATGTTATTCCATTGTCCTTTTCAGAATTATGGTTCATATTTAAGCAATGAGCACAGTGGGATCCTCCTGCTATGGCGTCAAGCTGCAACACTCCGTGGCAACTTCACAGAACTGCACACAACAGTGGAGAGGTGGGTGCTCCCTAAAGGCTATCAAAAGGACCCCAATGTTCTCTGCAGACAGTTACCAAAAGAAGGAATACTATGAAAAGCCAACAGCAGTGCTGATACCTTAATACTTTACCCTGCCTTTTTATAGAGAAAGGTGGGGTAAAAATATTTTATATGAATAATAAAAATTTTTGCAGGATTAGGAGCCATCAATTTGAAAAAGAGTGTTGGAAAAGATATCTGAAACTTGTCATCCTACAGCCTAATACAACCCATTCCAGGCCCATTAAATCCAGGAATCCCTAGATTTAATTGGCATACATTCTACAGATCAAAGGGCTTGTTCTTAACTGTATACACATGAGTAAATTTATTGTGTGAGTGAGTAATACTCCCAAAAAATTGGCTGTGAGAATTTCATAAAGAAAACATTTTAATGAGATTAAACAAATTTCTGTGATAGGTATCAGTACTAGAATCTAGGCTTTCTCAAGAAAATCTATTTGTGTTTGTTTTTTTTAATTTAAAATACTGTAGTTTTTATTATACGTTTGTCTTTACTTTTAATTTTAAATTATGAATTGAGTTATTTGTTGAAAAGAGTCTGAGTGGTGGTAAAGAATTGATGACATGAGAGTCTCTCAGAAATCAGAAAGGGAGCATGAAGTCTGAGAACCTCTGATGTATAAGGAAGTGACAATTCAGTGGGTACAGCAAGATTGTCCCAGTAATTCTTTGCTTCTAGTATAGTAGCTGGAATCAAAGGTGTCCTATTGCCCTTGTCATATGAAGTATAATCTCAGGGCCAGCTCAGAATTGCCAATATAGGACAGTTTCCATGAGTGTTGTTGTGGCACACATGGGAGTTCAAGTGTCCATCATGACAGTTCCTGTGACCCCCCCCCCAGAGAAAGTCCAAAATTCAGGCAACTGGACCACTTCATATCAAGAAATACCAGTGCTGTTAATGGCTGTTAATTGTCTATTCAAGAGTCCATAACTTCCAAATATTTGACATTATATTAAGGAAGGCTTGAAGCAATATACTCTTCTTGGGAAAATCCATTTCTTTACCAGTTGATAGGACTGCAGCTGAGTCCAGAAGAAACAGAGAAGCCTGGAGAAGGGGTTGATGAAGTCATAGCCAATACTGCTAAGAAGATCGTGAGGCGTCAACTCCATGAGCCCTGGTTCTATGACACAACGAGTCTCAATTGTGAAACAGGCTGAGGAAATAAGAAAAGCATTAGATGGTTAGCTATGATGAAATGCACATTTGAAGGAGAGTCTTCATGTAAATACTAGTGACCAGTAGGAACACTTAGATTAATAACCATTTTATTTACATGTATTTAAAATTACATGGGTTTAGTGTGGGAAGGACAAAATATAATCGCGTCAAGACCTTTTTAAAAAAAATTACATATCTTTACAATTCAGATACATGGGCAGTTACAAAAAGTAATAGTGTTCCATTTGGATGAACAAATGAAACATTTTGGCTTCTAAATATAAGTTGTTATACAATATGTGTGTGGGGGAGGCAATCACCATATGTCGGATACAATGGTAGGGACTCTGAAGCAGTGGTAGGACGTTTTTGTTATGCTAGGTTTCATCCCATTAGTTTTTCACAGAACAAGAAAAAAACAATAGAGTAGTTGCAGCAGCAGCAGCAGCCCAAATTCCTGGCATGCCAGTCCTGTGGCAATATTGTGAGTGTTGGCACACCTATGGCTTGGCGTTTTGAGGGGCTGATGTGTGTAAATTCTGAACCAGAAAAGGTTTAACTCCTTCATTACCACAGAGGTCTTGCTGAGGTGGGAACTGACATGGCTAGAGTTGCGCGCCGCCTTCAGACTGCCTGTCTCAATTTGGATTCCAACCTGCGTCTCTCTGAGAGTAGCACTGCCTCTTTGCTAGAGAAGCAGCTTCGGGAAAAAGTCCGTGAAATGATTCAGCTGCAAAGCCGCTGGGACGGAGAAAAGGCTGAACTAAACGCCAGGTGAGAGGAGAACTAATGTGTCTCTGGTCTCCAGAACACAGACTATTTGGGCAGGGGGGGATACACCATGGAGGGAACAGAGGTCCTGCTGGCTGTTTTCTGGGGTCTCCCCAAGCCATCACTGAAAAATGTGCCCCTGGCAATTGGCTGCAAATCACATTGCTGAATTTTGGTGGCGTCCCACTTGCATTGATTTGCCACTGACACAGAGTGGCAACGAGGAAGACCTTTATTTTAAATGGCAGTTTATGCTTATTTTTCAAAGGCATCATTTGCAGCTGAAGTTCATTAGGGTGAGGCAATACAGTATGGGTATTTATCCAAGGGATTAATGGATAAATCCAAAGACCTCACACTTCCTGGTGTGAAGTTGTGAACACAGGCAATACATTTTGCACCTCAGGAAAGAGGGTACAGTCCAGAGTGGGAAGACAATCCAGTGAGTGGACTTTATATTATCTCTTATCTAGGATCTGTCTCAGGGAGTCCTCTAGAATCCCATTTGAATTAAATTAGATGATGCATTCAATGCGGCTTGCCTTGCTCTAGGATGGTTTATTTTCCACTTATAAGTAAGTGCACTGAGGCCCCATCCAACTAGGTTCACTGCACACAGGTAAAGGAGCATTAAACTTTCCCTCCTTAACCAGCCAGTTTTTAAAACCAAATTCATGCTACCTGATGCCCTGTTTGCTAAAAGAGAGAAAAACATGGTCACCACTAACAGAGGGCATCAGTTGAGGAGATGAAATTAGTTAAAAAAAAAAAAACTAGTGGTGGAGAAGTAATTCCACCCCTGTCCACACACTGTGAAGCTGGTCTGGTTTGGCCTCATGCCCACTTACACATGAGTAAATAAGGATTGCTCTTGAAACTAGACACTATAGCGAGCATCCTCTTCAAGTAAACTTCACATGCGATGGGTCATAGCATAAGTGGCTTGATTTCTTTGTGGCTCACACAGAGTTGTTCAATTCAGAACTTCTCTGTGCAAACAGAATTCTTGTGTACTGAAACAGCAGCAAGCAGAGAGGTCCTTGATTACAGTGCCTATGGAGATTTCTGCTCTGCTGGAGCAGCGCAGCATCCTGGCCTAATGCTTAATCTACAATCAACTTTGGCATTAATTGTCCAAGATGTATTTACTGTTCTTGGATTGGGTGCAAAGTGTCAACTCTTTATTGAGTATGATTGCTGTTGGCTCAAAATTTCATTCTAGATGGAATGAAAAGGGAAGCCTTCCTCCAACCACTTCCAACTCTTCAATACTAGCATGTTACATCTAAAACCATAGAGTACGTTTTTAATACAATGTGTAAACTGACAGTTTCTTTTCCTCTGTCATGATCTTAAGAGTATGAAGAAGTGGTTTTGGAGGTCTTACTAGTTTTCTCTCCTGATCAATCTGCTACTTGTGTATGGATTATGTTTTACAGGATTACAGAGCTGACCACTTTAGGAGAAAAACAAAAAGAACAGAACACAAAGAAAGAGAAGACCATCTCTGCCCTAAAAATGGACATTCAGAAATTGGTACACATACTCACAAACCCTTCCTTCTGTCACTCTTTCAAACAAAAACACACACCTTTGCTGACACATACATCCTCACAAAGATGCCTGGCACACTATCACACAGGCTTACTCTCTCATACTTTTTCTGTTCTCTCTCCATTCCCATTTCTGAGAAAGTGCTTATCTTTGCACACTAGGAGGCCAGTAAGACTGGAGATCTAGAAGAGATGAAGAACCTGAAAGAGGACATTGCATCTTTGCAACATAGCTTGAACAGCATCACAAAGGTGCGTGAAAATTTCATCTGCAATAGAGGACTAGATCGAGTTAAGTAGACATGGAACAAGGTCCATTTAAAAGATAAGTGTGAACCACTGTAGGTAATGGCATGTCTATTTATAGAGTTTAAATAGAATAGGAAACACAGTTAACCCTAAATTCTCTAAGCCCTAGTAATAGAGTGTGGAAAAATATTATTGTCTGGTACAAAAGATGAGAGTTTTAGAGGCTCTGTAGAGGAAGCCCCAGTGGACCATACCCCAGTATCATCAAATGTCCATTAGTGTTATTACTTAGGAGCTTTCTCGCTTGTCTGCTGCACAGCTTTCTTGCTGGTTTGTAGTCTTAAACTAGCTTTTGTACTGATTGTCAGGGTGAGGGACTTAAATATGGAAATGAAACTTACAGCTATATAAACTGAGTATCCCATGTCAAAAAGGGTTTTTTTCCATACTTTCTGAGTATACATTTAATGCCACATTCTCCATCTTTGTCTGTTGAAATTAAGCATCCTCAAGAAGGATTAGGGGATACATTTCCCTGTTCAGTCCCTAGTCTGGCTTTAGCCTCTTTGCAAATAATGGTCAAAATCCTGTTGTTTAATGTAATATATTACACTAGAAAGGGCCCATTGAATCAATGGGAATTTATTGAGGCAATTCTTCTTTAAATCCCATTGATTCAAGTGGGCCTATTCTAGTGTGATTTACTCTGCTAAACAACAGGAATTTGGCCAATAAATACTAAGAATAATATTCTCAGTCTCCAATTTACCTTGTCTTCAGAGATCATTGGTAGATTACTTCATTCTTATTTCATAAGGCATTACCTAGTGAAGGGAATATATCAGTCCTTCCACTGAAGGGAAGTGCTTGAAATACACATGATTTTACATATCTATGAACTGATACACATTGTACTTCACCTGACATCTTAGGTTATAGGGCAAAATGTAAATTACATACATACATACATACATACATACATACATACATACATACATACATACATACATACATACATACATACATACATACATACATACATACATACATACATACATACATGGTTCTAGTGCTACCCTTTTAATTTACAGATAAAACTTGAGTTAGATGCCTTTTGTAGGAAACAAGCAAAATATGGGATCAGCTGTCCACCTGAACACAAAGTACATGATCTCAGAGTTCTGATTTGAGCTGCCAGCAGGGCTGTGTGTCACTCAAGAGGCAAATGTGTGAAAACAAGCAGCTAGTGGCTGAAATAAAGGTTTAAGGGAATATTTTCCATTTTACAACTTTATTGCAGCTTTAGGAAGTTTTGCCACAGAGAGCAATTTGAAAATACTGGGGGGAAACTGAGAAAAACTGAGAAAAGTGATACTGTTATTTATATTGCAGTACTTCTGACTGTTACTGCAGAAATATAATTACAATGGAGGGCCTGGTTTAAAAGGGTTTTATGTGCTCCATAATGTTGCCTAGAACTCAAACGTTATGTTTCATCAACTTGGTACCAATTTATGGTGACTCTAAGAGGGCTTTCAAGGTAAGTGAAATATTTAAGGAGTGATTTTACCAGTCCCCTGCAGTGAATTTCCGTGGCTGAGTGGGGATTCCAACCCAGGTCTTCTGAGTCTTAGTTCATCATTTTTTCCATTACACCACATTAGGTATCACTAGAATTCACATACAAATGAAAACCTAAAAAACACGTGAATCCTGACTGAAATCTTACCAGTCTTAGCCATGTGCGTGTGATAACTTGGGAATGTCTTGGCAAGGGGTCAGACTAGCTAATATATTGTTATTAGATGTAGAGTCCTCTTAAGGTGTAAAAGGCATTTGTTACTGCAAGTATAAATTTAATGTAACCCCTGTATTTTGCTAATTGGTCTGCAAATTGTTATTGGCGAGAAAGAGATAATTGTGGACTTCACTTACAAATCTGATTGTCCAGGCGTGGAGCTCAGAAGGAATTGTGTGCCTGGAGGAAATACATTGTAATAGGGATATCAGAGTTCCCTGGATATATAATTTGATCATGGGATTTATTTCCTCCCCTCCCCTCCTAGTTAGCTCTTTCTAGGAACATAGGGCCCAGCTCTGTAGAAGGTGTCAAAGCTTCATCAGAGGAAGACACCATGTGGCAGACTTCTCTGTGCTCTAGCTCTCCTCACCATAAGTGGGCATCACCACACCCATCTTCATATCAACATGCAGCATTGCAAGCAGTACAGGCTGCTATCCAGAAGTCACAGCACCGTGAGCAGGTAGTATATCCTGTTTTCAACTCCTGACATATCTATTATTAGGATGCTTGTACAAGTACGGTACATAGATATAGCCATTTGGGGCATATCAATAACTTATTTCAAAATACATATATGGAAACAGATAATATATGTAACATTAAGAATCTGAGGCTGTCTTGGTTACAATGAATGGGTCCAATTGCTGTTCCTTTAGAATGTCATATCCACCCATATTTTGAATGAAATATATCTATCCTACAGAGTTAGAGTGATTTGATAATATTTTAACTGCAGTGGTTCTGTCCTATGGAACCCTGGAACTTGTGGTTTAGCAAGGAATTTAGAATTTTATGCTGTAGAACACTATGATTATATAGTATTTGCACTGGAGCTCTCTAGCAAAGAAATCTAAGTACCTCACTCAACAATAAATACCAGAATTTTGTATGTTGGAACCATGTCTGTGAAAATGGTATCTCACTACGAACCCTGGAACTTGTGGTTTAGCGAGGAATTTAGAATTTTATGCTGTAGAACACTATGATTATATAGTATTTGCACCGGAGCTCTCTAGCAAAGAAATCTAAGTACCTCACTCAACAATAAATACCAGAATTTTGTATGTTGGAACCATGTCTGTGAAAATGGTATCTCACTACTGCAAATGTGTGGTGTAGATATATTCAAAGAAAGGTTGAAAGAGTTTGGAGCCAGTTTAGTATCTTAAAAACTAGGAGCATAATTGGCACATCTTCATGCACTGGCCATAGCAAAGTGGGAATCTGAAGAGCAACATGACTGAATGACTGAGGCCAAGATGTTGGCTTTTGTACATATCAATACACTGCCTCTTTTAGACACACAGTCTCCCAAATACCAGTTTCAGTGCTTTATGTTTGAAACCCCTAACACAGAGGCTCCACTACACTGGGTGGATATCGATGCTGTTGGTTAGAGCGCTTGCCTTGTCTGTTAAATGGGGTGTCTGGTCCCCTGTGAATAGTGTGTTAGATGATGTGGATGGAGCCTCCTGCTTGATCCTTCTTTTTTTACAAACAGGAGTTGCATGTGCAGCTGGCCTCTTGCCGGGATGCCCTGGGATCTGTCAAGAAGCAGCTTTCAGACTGCCAGCAGGAAGCGAAGGCAGCAAAACAGCAGCTGCAGGAACAGAGACAGGAATGTGAAGAGCTGACTGGGATGTTGGAGGACTTCAGGCGGGAACTGCAGCGCTGGAAGGCCTCTGTTGAGGTTCTGGGAAGGTGACGGCAGAAAGAAAGAGGGAGGCTCCAGATCTATTAATTACCTTCTCAAGGGACATGGCTAGCTGACTCAGCCGTGTGAGGGTTACGCAGATTGTGACCTTCAAATATGTATTACAGAAAAGAGGCCACCTCCCTCTATAGGGATGTATCAGTAGCCAGATTTTCTTCATATGGTACACATCTCTTCCCATGGTTCAGAGATAGATGCATACTTTTCTGGCAGGGTTAGGGAAGACTTCTATCTGAAATGTTGAAGAGCAGTTGGAGTAGACAGTTTATAGCTAGACTGTGGAGTTTTGCTTTGAATCAGAACTCGAGAAAGTTATTTTTTTTTTCAACTACATCTCCCAGAATCAATCCTTGAAGGATTGTATCACCCCATATAAGCCTTCTCAGCTTTTCACTTCTTCTGGGGAGGCCCTTTTCTTGTTTTTTCACCACCTTCCCAAACTCGCTTGGTGAGGCCTTCTCAGTGGTTGCTCCCAGGCTTCGGAATGAACTGCCCGGAGAAGCAAGGTTGGCCCCCTCCCTCTTGTCCTTCCATCATCAGGCAAAGATTTTCCTCTTCAGGCAGGCTTTTAAGCAGTAGTTGTTTCAGGAATGCTGGTTTTAAAAATGTTCTTAAATAATATTTAAACTTGATTTTTAAAATCTTAATATATCTTTAATTGTTTTTAAATTATATGAATTAACTAACTAGTAGGGCTAGCCACCACCCACAGCAGTTATATAACCCACTTTTCTATAATAATGTAAAAGGATCTGATGTTCTGAGGATGTGGTTTTATTCCTCCACACTACTTTCTGTGGTGTCACCAGTCAGGCAGATAAAAAATTATTTTTGCACTAGTGATTAAACATTGGCATTCCTTGCTGACAAATGTTATCATATGCTTCTCCACACTAGGCCTAACAGTATGAGAATGCTGTTATTTAGTATGGACTCATATATAATCATCTGTGTGCTTAATTTGTCCTAGGAAGATTGTTTGAATGACACTGAGTGGCACCCCATTAAAACATTTATTTAGGGTGAATGAAGGGGTAAGTGGTTGAAACTGGGCAGAAAAACCATTATTTTCTTGATGGTTTAACATTTAATGCATTTCAATTTTTTTCCCTTTCACTTGAATTACTTGAAGAGATTTGTGCTGTAGGTACCATTCTGTAAGGTGCTACTCTTTTACAGCACCTTTTGCATCTGGATTGAAGCAAACAATAGCCATGCCTCTGAACTGAGGTTTGAACAAGTGGCTTTTAGATCTTTCAGAGTCTGTTTCTATGATTCTCTTCTATGTTGATATGACTATTCACTTTAAAAAAATAACAGAAACACTACTGATGAATGGGTCATTGAAAGAGATAGTTCTAAAACAAACTAGACAAACATTAGTTTCAGTGGGTGCACACTTCAGCTCTGTACCTAGTACAAAAACAAGAACAAGACTTTAAATTTGTGCATGCTTCTTGTCACTCGATTGAAATGTAATGTGAGAATGAGGGGAATCATTGACTTGTTTATACCTACAGAGTCTCTGAACCATATAGCTGTACTTTTCTTTCCATCCAGGTACATATAGGAGGTTAAGGTAGATTCTAGATATAGATGAACCAAACAGTTCATAATGTAACTTTCGATGTAGGAGACAAAGGGTAGACATTTGGCTAACCTGTTACAGAACTTAAATCACTTCAGTCATTCAGAGACACAGTTTAAGCAGAATGTTCTGTCTGGGGAACTACTCACAAAACAAATCAAGTCAATTTGCAAACTACCAGAGGTGAGAAAAGAACCCATTATGACAATAAAATGCTTTTAGCCATTAGGTCCAGAGTGAGATGCTATCTCATCTTCAGCATCAAAGAAAACAGTTTATATATATTTTTTATATCCTGCTTTTCTCCTAAAAAGTATGTCAACATTTTAAAAGAAATAATATTAAAACCTAAAAACAATAAATAATTGCAAGATTTTCAAAGAATTTAATAAATATAAATGTTCATCTGCCAGTCCTGTGAGCTTTGTACATGAAATAGAAGCAGGCCCCGATTTGTTCTTCAGCTCAGCTAGAGAAATGTTTTCGGTCAAACCTGCCTTTCTGACATCAAATTTTAAACAAAGTAAGCAAGTAAATGTTTATATATCCGAACATGGCTACATTTTTTCATGTGAGTAGTTCAAAAGAATTCTTCTCTGTTTTTAAGGTCATTTAGTTGGAGACTTCTTTCTTTCAATGTTTTTTTTTCACACATATGCTAGTAAACTGGAAACTCCTGTAAAATCCAACAGCCAGTTACTATCCAGAGAATATCCTTAGACCTCAACATTGTTTTCCTTACTCACATGATAAACATTGGCACAGTTCAGAATGGAGGAACACATTCTATCTATAACACATGTTCAGACTTCTCCTTCTTAAAGACTGCTACCAAGCCACATGAAGTAAGACTAGAACTTGGAAAAGATACCCTTTTGGACTTCAATTCCCAGAATTCCCAAACAGCATGAATGCAGGTATTATTGTCAGATTGTGTCTTTCCACTTTGAATTTTTTTGGTGTTTATAATCTGGCTGTGCTGCCTGGGAGATTCTTAAAAACTGTACTCTAGAAAAGTAAGGTTTCTAAATTCTGGGAATCTGTTTAAAGTTAACACAGCCATTGTTTTCCCTCTCCATTTCCCTCCCTCCACTGTTTTGCTTCCATAAACGGTTCTAGGCTAAAAATAAAATGGCCAAGGAACAAAATAGGAGCTTCCTGCAGAAACAGATCAGGAGAATGGGAGGATTCTAATCTCAATCTCTCTCTCTCTCCCCCCCCCCTCTTCCCCACCTCCACATTGGTATGTAAGACCTGTATTTCCCTTGCAGCTGGAGAAAAGTGGGTAATGGCAAGCAGCTAAAGAGAAAACATGGTAGGTAAGGATGGATTTAAACACCTAAGCCTCACTTATCTATTGGAAGTCACCCCACTGCCCTGCAAGCCCTACTTTGCAAAAGAGAAATGGCAGCTGGGTATAAGAAAATGGGACATGTACTTCCATTCTGAAGGAAATCAACCCTGAGTGCTCACTGGAAGGACAGATCCTGAAGCTGAGGCTCCAATACTTTGGCCATCTCATGAGAAGAGAAGACTCCCTGGAAAAGATGCTGATGTTGGGAAAGTGTGAGAGCAAGAGGAGAAGGAGATGACAGAATGAGATGGATGGACAGTATCATCGAAGCTACCAACATGAATTTGACCAAACTCCGGGAGGCTGTGGAAGACAGGAGGGCCTGGCGTGCTCTGGCCCATGGGGTCACGAAGAGTCGGACACAACTTAACAACTAAACAACAACAACAACTTCCGCTCTGATAAGCAGGGGGCTATCTCATGGGCTGCATTATCTCCCTCTCAGGTTGCTCAGTTTACAGTATTTTAATTCTTTCCTCAGAGAAAAGGAGGCCTTGGAGATGACAGCGGAAACCCAGACTCAGCAGCTTGATTCTTCCCATCTGGAAATGGAGCGGCTGAAAACTATGAATGGAGAGCTCCAGAGACAGCGAAAACTCCTGGAGGAACAGAAGGAGGAAGTGGTCAAAGAAAGGGAGAGAATGAGGAAGGAGCTGGAGAGGGGGTGAGGTGCCACAGTTGTGTATGTGTGGTCCTGGCACACACAAGGCAAACCTGCACTCCAGTATCTAGCACAGTGATACATGGGAGCAAATCAGCAGGGCACATAATGAGATTTCACTGGATTCTTAAACTTGGCGAGATAGAAGGCCTTACCAGGAATGTGAAATATTTGTATTTTTTAAACTCTTTGAATCCCACAGCCAGCATGGTTGACTTTTTTGTTCATTTTCAATTGTAAGTTTTGGAAAGTGACCTTTAAAATCCCTATCAAACCTCACATTAGGGGAAATGTGTATTTCTTGGTACTACAACATTTTAAGTCTCCTTTAAAGGGACTGTGTACTGAGACTGAAAATGTTGTAGTCTGAGCTTGCAAATGAAGTCCATGCTTATCTTCCAAATTACAAAAACAAAACAAGTTAATTTTCAACATGCAGATACGGATAAGACAACTTCTTGTATCTCTTAAAGGAGCTCTGTGTTTAATGATATACTTATAACTAGTATGACTCTCAGAACTGGGCTGTGTATGCTGGGGAAGGGTATAATCATGAACATTAATGGTGGTAAGAGAAAGAGAAATATGATTTCCAACTCCATTAGGTAAAGTGTTATGTTGGAGTCTTGTGGTTGGTTAAGGGCAACCCTGAAAACAGGTATAATTGGTTAAGTCACACAGTTAGACCTTTTCTTCTTACTCAGGCAAAGATCCCTGGAACAGCTTGAAGAAAAGATGTCAGCCCTGAAGAAAGAGCTGGTGACTGTCAAGGAGTCTCTGAACCAGACCATACTGGAGAAAGATGTGCTACAGAGTGCTAAGGATGGTTTGAATGGAGCGCTTTCCAAAGTAAGGATGGCTGACTGGTACAATCTACATGTCAAAGACCTCTGCTTCTGGCTGCTGTCCTTGTTGTGGATATCTTCCCATTCACTTTAGAGCCCAGGTGTTCTTGGACCGCAATTCCCATAAACCCTGCCAGCATAACTGGTGGCGAAGGCTTCTTGGAATTGCAACTCAAGAGCACCTGGGTTACCCAAGTTGGGAACCACTTGATTTAGAACAAGTCTTGCTACTAAGGCTACTATCACCCTACACCACAGGATTCATTTGTCTGAGACTGATGAGACGTCATTAAAAATGCATAAGTCATCAGCTTATACAGTATAAGCCTGCCCAAGTCATATGATCATTTACAGTGGCTGTTCAGTATTTAAAATTCATGTTTGACTGCGAAAAAAGCTCCATGGTTTAGGTCTCTGGCCACAAAGCCATAGGTTGGGAGTTCAATTGCTCATTCTGCCTCCATGTCAGGGGCTGGACTTGATGATCCATAGGATCCCTTCCAGGTCTACAGTTGTAAGGCAAAGTAAAATTCCATTTGGTAACTGGAGCCATATTCTGCTAGTCTTTACTCAAGGAGGAAGGCCTCAGTCCTTCCTTTTTACAGGAAATTATCAAATGTAGCAGCTTACACTGGTTTGATGGAGATTTCTGTCTATTAGGAGGCAGGAATTACTCTGGGACACAGTCCCAAAATTACATGTAATTTTTTTCTAGACATCCATTTAGGGATAGATCAGGAGAGGAAATGTACAATCTTTAACTATTACCTCTGACAGAAATTTCAGTCAGAAATTTCATCTCAGGCTAAGAATTCCAGAGATATATTCAGGAAGTGAAGAGTTATACATGGAGCCAGCCTGACATCCAGAAGAAGAGCCAAATTTCATTTCTAACAGCTTTGGGACATTATGTGTATAATAAAATGGGAAAGCCAAACTGTGGGTGAGGTACTGTTGCATGCCATCACGTCATCAGGGCTCAGTATTTCAAAACAGTGAATTGTGTGCTAAGTTTAAGCTTTTTTCTCAGAAATAACATGCCCACTAAGGCCATAATCCAATAGGGTGTAAGGGCAGGCCCTGGATGAGTCATTATTTTGGTAAAATTCCCTTGTGAAAACTGCCCAAACTTCAGATTGGCTCAAGCGAAAGTGAGTAGCAGACCATTTTGCCACCCACACTTTGGCCAGGATGAAACTTAAATGTGTGTGTGGGGGGGGAGAGGACATTTTCCTAACAGAATACTCACTGATTACATAATGAACTTGAAAAATAACATTCACAGTTATAGACATAAATTGCTGTGGATTCTCTGTTTCCTTTTCTTGCAGCTTGCAAGTAAAATATGGGTACTGCTCTGGCACTACTGTGAAACAGATTATTTTGTTAATGAAATGTCTTTTTCAGTCTTATAGATCTTGGAAAGTTACTCTTTGGACAATAGTGTAAATATGAGTAATTTAATAAAGATTGTTGTATAAAATGTAATCAGACTTCAGAGAAGCAGGATGTACTAGTTTTTAAAAAGCTAAGTTTTATCTCAATGGTTGACTCTTTTACATGATTAAAGACTCTCCTCCTCAGAGTATAGCTTCTTTTCTGAAACAGCATTATTGTCTCTCAAAGGGGAAGAAAGAACATACCAACAAGACCTGTACTTGCTGTAAAAGAAATGAAGGATAGATTGTCTTTTTCCCCCCTTTAAGTGTTTTCAAGCTAACAATTTTGTAAATGGCCAAAGTGGTAAGAATTAATAAGAAAAATTGAATGTGGATATGCTTCCAATTGCTTCCCATCAGGTTGAAGCTGCCAACACTGAGCTTGAGCTCTCAATACATAAGATGAAATCAGAAGGTGCTGAACTGAGGGACTCACTAGCCAAGATGGGGGCTTTGAATGAAGGGTTGGCTCAAGACAAAATCAGCCTCAACCGCATAGTCCTACAGGTAACAAAACACCAAAACAGCCTCCTTTAACCAGGCTATAATGGACAGCATAAACAGGCAACATATGTAAGCTTCTATTTAAGCAAAGGTGGTCCTAGTATACCATTGGAAAAGCTGAGGTAAATAATCTTATCACAGGGGGGAAAATCTCCCTAAAGAGCAAGCTACTTAGGCCCTCACAGATTAAAAATATTGCTTCAAAATGTGTTTTAGGATCCTGGTTCTAACCCTGCAGGATTGTTGTAAGGACTCCCCCTTACCATGATAGTCTAATGGGAGAATGAGAGCCAAACTAATGAGGAGGTGGAAATCTCTAATTGAATCCCTTGTCTCTTGGTAAAAAAGCAGTTTCACTATTTGATCCTGGGAGAGGTGGGGTTACACATCCACCCCACCCCACTGTTGACAGTCTCTCTGTGAAATTGGTTATTTCCCCACTGAGGACATCATAATTAATTTTCTTTTGTAAGACAGATAAACAGCAGGTTTTCATCAGGAAAACAACAGGGTCAAGAAAGCTGAACACAACTTCCCTTAATATTATGGTCCAAATGTTATGGTTGTGGCCAAACTTCCCTCTGTCCCACCCACCAACCTACTACAGAGCTTTTTATAATATGGTTAAGAAATGGATAATCCAGTCATGTATTCCCATCATTTTTTCTAGCTTAACCCTGGCAGAGAAAGCTGAAAATTAAATAAAGCCCAATCCTGTGTCCCTGTCCAAGGTGTTTGATCTTTTTCTGGGACGGTGGTAGCCACATCCTCACTGAACGTGCCCTAAGTCCCAGTTTGCCTGCCAGTCCCTGAGTGTCCATTGCTAAGAGCAAACAGAACTCTCCTTTGTGGTTTTGCTGGCTGCCAAAATGCACACTTTTCCTGAGCCTTTTTAAACCCACAGTGTGCCAGAAAACTTTCAGCCTCATGAGCACTATCCTGCAGGGCTTGTAACTGCTGAGAGCTTGTAATTTGCAGTGAGGCCTGAAATGGGGGAGACTCAGAGTGCCTCACACACTCCACAGCTTATGCCGACACCATTTATAACTTCCGGAAGAGTTCGAGCATCGTATTGCTGCCTCATAGAAACTCTGATGCTGCCTACACAGCCCATGGGAAAATTCACCCAGGACCTCCTATCCTAGCCTGTGAGGCACTGCCTCTCTGTGAAGCACCTGTTATGTTTCAGGAGACATTCAGTAAGATTTCTCCAGTGTGTGACTACATGGCAACAGACTTCTCCAGTTGCTCCAGGTTTAGCACAATGCAAATTGATTTAAAAATTTCCCAACTACACAAGGTTATTGTAAGCGCAGGGAATCTCTCTGCTTCAAGACATCTTTTATTTTTGAACTATAAGTAAAAACATATAAACATTTTTTTAAAAGACAAAAACATGATGGCACCTTTTTGAAGACATCGTTGTTTGCACATGGAAATTAAATCGGATTTTGCCCATATGTTTAAACACTTGTGGCGGCACACACAGAAGTAAAACCTACATCTATCCAGAATGCACATTGGAATAGCATTTTTCCATCCATCTTCTGTTCCATGCTACTAAGTGCATATTCCAAGGAACAGGAAAATAGAGGGAGTTCCAAAGCAAAGCAAACCTCAAATATGAAAGTGCTAATAAGATGTGTTCGCAGCACCTTTCAGCCCCAATTCGTGAAGCAATTCCCTCCTGATGGACTGTGTCCCAAGGTCAACCTGCTTTTTGTATTCTAGTCAGCCCATCCCCTCCCAGGTTCCATCAACCCTTGTTCCTAGATCTGTTCAATCATGTTGCTTCCTCTTGTTCTGCAGCTTGAAGAAGAAAAGAGCAGGCTGCTGAGCAGGAAGCGGGAGCTGGAACAAGAGCATACTGTCTGGCGTGAGCAGCTTGCACACTTAGAGCAGGAGCTCATGTGCATGAGGGCAGAGAAGCAAGGGCTAGAACAGAGCTGCCAGACCTCAGAAGAGAAGCAAGAGTATCTGGAAGGAGAAATGGCCTTGTTGCGCAGGGAGAGGGTCCAGTTACAGGACCACATAATGCAGGTACAAAAAGTACATCTGCAGAGTGCCAAAGACTTTGATACAACTTTAAAGAACTGTATAAATGTGAATAAGAGTTGACCTGGATCAGCTTGGTCATTTTGGTTTCACCCTGTAGCTCTAGCTGGAAGGTGACAGGCAAGCAGGGACAGACTACTCATCCTGTGTTTTAATCCTCAGTTTATTGCTGAAATGCTGTGTTTTTAAGTGACTTTATCTCTGATAGCCACTCTGCAATGCCTGTTTTTAGCCAAGCCTGCTTTTTCTCTGTTGATAATTTTATTCTGCTTTCTCTAGGCTTTGTGTACATTTTATTTGGGTTGTGTTTTGTGGCACCCTGAAAGCAAACCATATAAATTAATGAATACAATAAATAGAGGCTTAAAATAACCTAAAAAACAAAAATGTGAAACTATGCAACTCACAAAACCCTGGCCCAGTTTGCTGCTTTCTTGTTTGAGAAAAGTCTCATTTCCGCTCAGATTTTTGCTAAAATCCTGACATGTCATGCTTGACCTCTTAAAAACCTGGAGGCAATAGGCAGGCATATGAGGATAGGAAGAGAAGTACTAGGATCCTTGGGGAGCTATGTGTCATAAACAGCCCATATGACTGACTGACGTCCTCTCTGATTTCTACATTTTAGCAGAATCCATCGAACATATTTTTGGGAAATTATCTTTAACTATAATGCTAAAAGCTCCATTTAAAAAAAATGAAAGTCTCTGCAATAGCATGTTGGATATCTTATGCTGGAAATTGCAGCACCTACAATGAATGGAACAAGGCACCCAGGCATATTTGATGAACAGAACAAGACAAAGAACAATGCCTTTTGAACAGTTTATATTTTATTTTATTGATTTATATATTATGTGTGCATCCTACACGGGGTCCCCTGATTATTTCCTCACCTCTTACTGTCTAAGCTTTGCTTCAGCAAGACTAAAGAACACATTGGTTGGTGTATTCTTGGAGTCCAAAAAAAGTTACATTTCCTGAATCAACTCCCAAAATACACCAGTCAGCATGTTCTTCCATTCTGGACTATGGATAAGCCAGGGCTGTGGTCTGAATATGCACAGATCTTGCAGGAGTAAAGTCTAGGCAGTACTATAACTGGTACTATTGTGTCAGAGCTGTTGTTATTCCAAACTACTGTCTTCAAGTGGTTCAACCACCAGCTTTATAGGGATCTTCTGCTCCAATCTATCTGCTAACCTCTCTCTCTCTCTCTTTCTCTCTTCCCCACCCCCTCTGGTTGCTACCAGCTGAACAGCCAGAAGCAAACGCTTAGTGAGCAGCTGAGCCAGAGTCACCAAGAAATGGAGGTGCAAGCCGAATCCTTACTCTCTGCCCTACAGGAGAAGGAAGAGATGGCTAAGGAAAAGGCACAGCTGGCTGTGGAGCTCACTGCATTGGAAAGAAACAGGAAGTTGTTAACAGAGGAGGTAGACACTCTCAGGTAACACCCATCTTCTGTGAAGCTACCAGCGATCCCCTGAAGATTAGACTACAATGTAATATAAAGGGTGTGTCAGTGATGGAAGAGGTGGCATTGCTTCTTGAAATTTTGGCTAAGATAAAGGGTATGGAAAAGGTGGCATAAATTCAACTCATTTATTGACATACTGATAGACTGGCCTTGCTCCATCCCTACTAGTAACCCATGCAGAGAATAGATGAAGTGATGACCACAAGAGACTGAAAAATAGGGTGCAGTCAGAGGGGCATGCATCCTGCTGTTTGGTGTACTGCAGGAACAAGCTGGTTCGCTCCTTTTTCCGACAATCAGATTACGTAATTGCTGGGGCAAATCAAGGTGTTCCTGCCTGCACCATTTGTTTCTCTGAGCCTCCACAAAGCAGAAAGGAAGCAAACAAACAAATTAGGGCAGCGCTGATATGCTGTATCACTTAGAGGGATTTTTTTAAAAAACTGAAATCTTCCACCCAGAAACGGGAAGCAACAGGAGAGGGCAGAGATATATGTTTAAAATTTCTTTGCTTTCTTAAAAAAAGGCAGACGAAATAGGATTGCTTGAGATGCACACACCATTTGGGATGCAAGGATCACAACAAATAGCCAAGTGGACCGCTATCCAACCTTACGCGACCCTACTGAGCCTGATCCAGCCTGATCCACTGTGCTCATGTAGCCAAGATGATAGGAAGTAGCTAATATGTGATGATTTTTCCCCTGCCATTTTTTTGTGAAAACCTTTTCTTGTAATATGCCCCATCATGATTAGATTAATATGTAATAGGACTGTGTTTAACCACAGTTCTCCAGACTACATCAAAAGCCACAATTTTAAAAGCTGTCACAATTTTACACTGGAGAAAAGTGGCAATAAGAGAATAATATCTAGATAGGCTTTCCAATTCTAAACTTTGATAGCTTTAATTGTATTATAAGCACTCCTCATTTAATTTGGAGCAGGTTTTATCTTGCCCAGGTCCCTCTAATCTTCAGTTTGAGGCTGTGTAGTCAGCAGCTGTATCAACAACCTCAGCCCAGAAGAAGGCTTCTTGAAGTCCCTCTCCTTTTAGCTTTTGAGTTCTATGACACATACATATATATCTCCTTTTATCTTATTCAGTTGTGGGCAAAGTGCAACACTTCAGATGTTGTTCGACTGCAGCTGCCAGCATTCTTCACCATTTACTGTGCACACACTGAGGCTGCTGTGAGTTGTAATCCAACAACATCTACAGGGGACTGTACTGTACTCATCTCAGTCTGCTTCATTCCACCTGCTTCCTCTCTCAAGTATTTTGGTCCTTGGTGCTCTGTTGAAGGGTACTCTCTTTGTTACATATTAATAATCAGACTGTACATGGTAATTATTATTATTCCTTTGTGCATGGGGAGAGGAATATAAGGCCTTTGAATTGGAAAGCCTGTTATGGACAGAATTTGAGATGAATTGAGTCCTATAGCATAACTAGAAGAGCTTTGGCCCCCACCATTCAGGCCAAAGATGAGGAATGATAGGAGGTGTAATTCATCAACATCTGGAGAGCTGAACATTCCCCACACTGGTCCTTGAGAACCATGATTTAAATTGTTCTGGTGCACAGGTGCAACAATCTCTGGGATATAATTCAAAACTTGCATAAGGAGGATAGATCTTTCTTCTGCAGAAAGACTGTTGTGACTCTTGGTGGCAATGGCACATTGAAACACAGAATGTTTGAAGAATGTATGGTGATCTATGTCATAGCCTTCTTTTGGGAGTGAAATCAGGGAATTCAGTTTGTATTTGTTAGTGCCCAGCCTATGCTCTGGCAGACAATCTCTTTTTAGCCTCTTGCATTTTTATACATTTTGAAGACATTCAAACAGTATATTGAGGACATACTGCTACAGCGACAGTAATCCTATTCTTCTGAAGTCCCAGTGAATTGTACTTCAATTCTATATGCACCAGAGCATGCAGAGTAATTGAAAACTGAGAGTGAAAGTCAAGGAACAAAATGAATGACATTTGCTATCAGGCTCTTTATAAATATAGTTCTCTGCTTAAAGACCACTGTTTTGTTTATTTGTTACAATCATATCCTGACTTTCATCTCAGGGACTCGGGTTAGTACACGTGGTTCACTACCTCTTCATTTTACCTTACACTAACCTAGTGAAGACAAGTTGTGATGATGGAACTTAGATCTCACTAGTCCTAATTCAGACCTCCTTATCACAGTACTACAGTGTAGTCCGCCATAGGCTCAGTATTAGTTTTAGCCTTGTTACAGCCAAATAAATATCATGCTTTCTTTCTCTGGCTGCCTGCTTAGATATCATTGTGTTCTCTATATCCTTATGTCCTACATTTTAATCACAGGTTTACTAGCCAAGTAGAAACCTTCAAGCAGGGTTCCTTCACCACAGGTTAATTCTAGACCTCATGTGAATTAATGGGGACAGCCTGGGGAGCTGTAGTAGATGGAAACATGGGTGCCAACCAACTTTCTGATGTAGTGGATAAGTATTGGTTGTACATGCTTCCTTTTCCAAAATCACTGTCTAGTAGGTGCCTGTAAAGCTCTGATAATTTCCTGACATGCTTTAGGGCAGAGAAAGAATCCCTGGAAACCAGCCTTTTTGAAGCTCAAGAAGTGGCAGCCCAGCTGGAGGCTCGCACGGAGCAACTAGAAGGAGAGAAAAAAAGCATTGATGTTTCTAGGAAGACACTCCAAGGTATTGTATGGACAACACTGAATCTGCTTCCAAACTTCAGAAACCTATTTTACATTAAATGATGGTGTTCTGTGAAAGGGAAATCTTTCAGTTGAAATCTTAGAGAACAGCTTGGAATACTAAAGGTCCGTAAAAGTGCCCATTAAAGTAAAGGGTTATTACTTAAAAATGTTTCTGTTGTGATCTGACTTTGTTAACCTAAGAGGTAGTGGTTGACAATATGCATTCAAATTACCATTTAGCATCCCTACCCCTCAAAGCCCACTGACAGATAAGTGTCCAGATTGGTATGCTTCATCCTTTTTTGCACTTGTTCAAGATAACATACAATATAGTTAAGATCATACATTAAAACACATCAGACAACAATGAAACTGAAAGAGCTGCTTGCTTAATTGTGCTTTTGAGTTATTTGAATTATTCCATTGGACATGTTGAGAATGTAGCTGGTTTTCTTTCATAGTGGAACTGGAAAGTGCTCGCCATGAACTTGAGCTCCAGGAAACCAAACTGAGGAAAGAGGTAGACATGTTGAAACATCAGCTGACTCAGACAGAACACAAATGGCAGCTGACGATCAAGAACCACAAGCTGAGTTTTGAAGAGGATCTTGGGCACATCAGAAAAGAGAAGGTGAGTGCTGTAGGTCCAAGCCTTCAATTTCATATGGATAACAGTCCTACACAAGCTGGCACTCCATATAGATTTTTTTTAAAAAAAAAAAACACACCATGTCCACTAACAAAATTAATTTTTGAAAGGTTATTTATTTATGCTACCAGAGTTGGGTGATTTAATTCCAAGCTTACAGATACTCTAGAAACTGATAATTAGATACAAAGAAATACTGGTCACTGTTATCGAGGAGGACCCATATGCAACCTCTCTCTAATAATAAAATAGAACAATGCCTGTACTGGCTTCTAAGAAGAAGGAAGAAGGAAGTAAATGTTTTGTATGGTGATCTGCATATCAGTAAGTAGTTAACTTTGAAACAACAAGAGGGAAGGTAGATGCCTGGATTTTCCTAGCTGTCTGTCCATCTGTCACCCCAAGTAGTTCTGGTTATTTGTTCATCAGCTTTTGTTACATATACAATATATTATCTACACTGTGATAGCTTCTTAACTTCAGTGAACTAAGTCCACATAGATGCTCTGAGTAAGAGGACAGTGAAACCAGTCCTTGCTTTCTGAAAGGTATTAAAATTTGTTATGATTGCTGTAGGTTTTTTGGGCTGTCTGGCCATGTTCTTGAGGTTTTTCTTCCTAATGTTTCCCCAGTCTTTGTAGCCAGCATCTTCAGAGGACAGGAGTCAGAACTCTGCCTGTGCTCTGGTGCCGTTTGTGGGATAGTTGAGTATTTATAGCTGTGGGATCAGCTTATTTTGTCCTTTTCAGGAGATTGGGTGATTATGGTGATCAGCGTGTTTTTTGTTGTGAGTGTATTGTTGTGATAAGGGGGAGAGATGATCTGTCACTGTGATTGATGGATGTCGTTAGCTGATCTTTTATGTTCAGTGATCACTGGTCCTTTGCAGGCTGTATTTTTCAGTGCTGGGAGCCAAGCTTTGTTGAGTTTTAGACTTTCTTCTTTTTTGTTGAAGCTCTGCTGGTGTTTGTGGATTTCAGTGGCTTCCCTGTGCAGTCTAATATAATGATTGCTGCTGATCCCACAAAAAGCTGATCCCACAAAAATCTGATCCTACAGCTATAAATACTCAACTATCCCACAAACTGTACCAGAGCACAGACAAAGTTCTGACTCCTGTCCTCTGAAGATGCCGGCCACAGAGACTGGCGAAATGTTAGGAAGAAAAACCTCAAGAACATGGCCAGACATCCTGAAAAACCTTAATTCCAAGTACTTTGTGAGATGGGGATTGACCAAGATGACGTCTTATATATCCCTGAAAAACCTTAATTCCAAGTACTTTTTGAGATGTGGATTGACCAAGATGACGTCTTATATATCCATCCCAGACCAGTAACTCTGTAAAAGATTCTGAATTGACCATGATGTTTGTAGGGCATCTTTTAACAAGTCATTATCTCTTAATCTAACCTCCTGTACAGGTTATCGTAAGGTAAATTCCTGTAGAAGATGCTATCCTGAAGTTCTTGAATGAAGGATGAAAAAATCTACTAAATTAATCAATGCACAGATAATAATGCTTAGCATTCATATGGTCTGAAATTATTCATTTATTCATTTATTTATTTAAAATAGTTTACCTGACCTTTCTCTCAAAAAAGGACCCAAGGTATCATTTTGGATGACGTGTTTTTCCTTTGAAGTGAATGAGTCCTGCTAGTTCCTGTCTTTATTTCCATGTACTGCACTGAAACTATTCTTAACATCAGAAGCCCCAACCAGGCTTAACGGGCAGGAATTAATCATGGAGATCTTGTCTCCATGCAATATCAGTTTGCCCAAAGCTTGGGAATGTTACTTCAAATGTAATTTGTCAGTACTCATTAATCACAGTCAGAAAATAATCCATTTGTTCATTAGTATATCACACTAATTTAGGATTACTATTTAAAAACCTTTCTAAAATATACAAAATGTCAAGAATCCAAAATCAACCTCCCCCCAATAACATTTTGAAGAAATGAGTAAATGTTACTAATTTCTCAAAAAAAATTTTACAGTGTTGATGTTTTTACGTTGAATAAATAAAAGGGGAAATGTTGGCCCTTTTGACACAGAAAGGTAATGAACCGTGAGGAACGTTGCTATTTCTAACATGCTATGTCCAAGCTCTGACTTTGCCTGATAACATCATGCTCCACTACTGACCCCAGGAAACCCTGCGTTTGGCGCTGATTGAGGAGAAGGATGAGGCTGTGAACCATCTCCAGCAAGAGAAAGAAGAACTCACGTCCAAGTATGAAACTGAGAAGAGGGAGCTAATGGAGGAAATCCTCACTTTGCAGCAGAATCGGGAGGAAAGCCTCCTCCTGCTAGAGAATGAAAAACAAAAGGTGAGGAGGACAGGGAGGAAGGGATAAAAAATGGAGATCCACCAGGAAAATTATTCCTCCTATGTTCCATTCTCTCCCATCACAAGATCCACTGGGAATAATGCCTGCTGGGACCTCTGCATGTAGCTCATTAAAAATGGTCCCCCAATTTCTCCACATTGCTTGAGTGTTCTGAACTTGTAGGAGAAAGGTGGCATTTCATCATGAATCACGGAGTAGGTAGTCCCAGAATTGTACCAACTTTTACTCCAAAGTATAAAGTAAGTTTTTTTTCTTTCAATGTTGAAGATTCCAGTTGGCTTTAAGCAGGCTGACTTGACATATACTCCCTGGATGAACACACAGATAGAATACAATCATCCTAGGATTGTTGTACTGTTCTCAGCTTTTTAAAAAACGCAGCAACATTTGCGCAGAAATATGTTAATTTTTCCCCCTGAATAAATCATACCAGACTTTGCACTGGATGTTACATGCACATGAAAATGCACTTTTGCAACAAAACAAATGTTCAGCATTAATGCACATTTTCATGCATTTTGAAAATGTTGTAGCATGCACTGAGAGTTAGACCTGCATCAGGGTGCTAGTGGTAACAAAGTTCACAACTATAACACATTAGTCAGTGCCAGCAAAGTAAAATGTTGAGTGGGGTAGTCTATTCCCTCCCTTCTGTTTAGTGGAGATGTCACCATTCCATGCTCTAGCTACCTGTTTTGACTACCAGATTCTACAGACTGATCCCCATCTTTTAGTAATACAGGTGTGACAAACCCAGACCTACTGGGATATGTCACACAGTTACACTAAGCTGCCACCAACCATTCCCTATAATAAGTCACACAGACCAGGGATGGATTTTTAAACAATAAAAGAATAAGGTTTATTTTAAATACAAACAGGGTAAATAAAACAATCAGGTGAATAAAATAAAGTAACGTGGCTTATTCTCACACACACAAGCATACAGTTTGGTTCACCTAGAATCTTTAACTTAAAGCACAGACCCTGAACCCATCAGTTCTGGCTAACCAACAGACCCCTGAACCTTTCAGGCTGGTACTCTGACACACAGTAGTACCCTGTCAGACACACAGACTCCCACAACAGCTTCTTCTTCCCAGCTGCTGCTTCGCAGGCTGACTTGACATATACTCCCTGGATGAACACACAGATAGAATACAATCATCCTAGGATTGTTGTACTGTTCTCAGCTTTTTAAAAAACGCAGCAACATTTGCGCAGAAATATGTTAATTTTTCCCCCTGAATAAATCATACCAGACTTTGCACTGGATGTTACATGCACATGAAAATGCACTTTTGCAACAAAACAAATGTTCAGCATTAATGCACATTTTCATGCATTTTGAAAATGTTGTAGCATGCACTGAGAGTTAGACCTGCATCAGGGTGCTAGTGGTAACAAAGTTCACAACTATAACACATTAGTCAGTGCCAGCAAAGTAAAATGTTGAGTGGGGTAGTCTATTCCCTCCCTTCTGTTTAGTGGAGATGTCACCATTCCATGCTCTAGCTACCTGTTTTGACTACCAGATTCTACAGACTGATCCCCATCTTTTAGTAATACAGGTTCCTAAGAAAATGTAGGCAGGGCAATCATTCTGTGCAGTAGATAAAAGCAAGGAGATAGAGAAATCAAGAGGGTCAGCAGGCCTTATTGGCTAGTTGCACAGCAGGGGCTGGCAAACTGTGGTCCTTCAGATGTTTCTGGATTAAAGCTCCCATCAGTCCCAATCAACGTATTCAACAGTGAGGAATGCTGGGAGTTAGGGCCCAACAACATCTGGGGAATTGGATGTTGGCTGCTCTGCTCCAGACACAACCCTAGCAGCCCCTTCCCAGTAGGTTCAACCACATCTCCAGCCAACACAGCCAGTGTCAGTGGCCATAATTACTGGGGATAGAAGCATCTGTAGTCCACATATCTGGAGGGCACCAGTTGGAGGAAAGCTGTAGAGACAAAACAGGAACCTAACATCCACATATGTTTCCCTCTGTGTCTATCAGTCATACATGAGGTTTTTTTATTTATTTCCTGAGATAGAGGAGTCTGAAAATACTTGTTAATAAAAGAGAAAAATGAAATATCCAGGACCATGCAAAGTGTATGTGCAGTTTTCCCTTTTCACTTCCCTCAGGCTGTGTCCCAGAAGGAAGCAGAGAAGAATCTCATTTTAGAGAAGCTCAGTGAGTTGCAGCGAGAACTCACAGCTGCCAGGTCGGAGATAGACCAGGTGAAACTGGAGGCTCTGAACCGTCAGGAGCAGGATAAGGTACGTATCAGCTTGGGTCACTTTTCTACAACAGTAACATCTTCCTTGCATCCTATTGAACTGAGGTGCCCCTCAGACAATAAAATCTAATTATCACAAGCATTACCATTGTAGAAAGAAGGAAGGGGATATATTACCTTCTCCAGAAACATTCCAGTGTTTGAAATTTCCTCACAGTGGAACCCAGTCAAAATCAATCCTTAAAAGATGTTTAGAAAAACATTTTTGTTCTATGAGGCATGTGGGAAAAGTTGATTTTAATTTTTCCTGTAATTGTATTGTTGGACATATTCTGTTGGTCATTTATTACTTTATTGCTCTTGCATAACATTTTAAATGGCTGTTACATTCTCAGAGTTCTTGTTTTAAAGCAGTTCTTAAAAACAAAAATGCATTGTTGCCCCTTTATGAATCATTCAGAGGCTAATAAAGAACTTCATCTTGATTGATGTTTTCAGCAGAGAGATAACAAAGTCAAACAGAAAGAACTAAACAAAATTGAACCCAGCAGCTCTCTAATCCATTTGTTTTATCAGATAGCTTTGATTCATAAGCTCCTGAACTCTTAAGACACAAGAGAAGGTGAAGGGTTTTGGTACACAGTTTTTGCTGCATTGTAAGCAGGGCTTATTTTTCTGAAGACTGTTGTGTTGGGAAAGAGGGCTGCTTCTTTATATATTTATTTCATTTTTTATTCTGCCATGGAAGACAAAGTTGGAAAGAAATTAAGATGAAATTAATATTTATAATTAATTATTCTATAGCAGGAAGTCGTTGTCTAAGCTAATTGCTGCCTATGTTGAAGTTGTTTTGGTTTTAACGTATTCTTGAAAGCTGTTTTGGTTTTACTCCTATACATCAGACTTTTCTTTCATAAAACCCAGAAACCCATATTGTACTTTAGATGTGACATCATTTCACATGTTTCCTTTTTCCATTATTAGAAAACACACTGTTCCATGAGTAATGGAATAAAATACCTACAGATCCCATTCAAGGATACTATCAATTCTTCCCTGGCTATCTTCTTGTGAAAGATACTAAGAGATTATTTCAGAAACAATTTTGCCATAGATATAATAGCTGCTCTAGAATTCAGAGGTGAGCAGATATAAATTGTTCCAGTCCTTTGAAGCCAGAGATAGGCTTCAGACCACGCAGTTCTCAATTTGCATAAAGTCAGAAGTGCAGTCATGGAGCCCAGTGGCTGGAGCTGCACTAGACTAAAGAACTGTATGCCTGGCTGACTCCTTGTTTCTCATTATGCTCTGCTATGCAAGATTCAGGAGAGCTACAACGCAACAACCATGGGACCACTTCAACTTCTCCATATGTATTTTAAATGTTAAAAAACAATCTCTCCACCACTGCCCCACTTCTTCTCTAGGGGATTTCACAGCTTTTTTAGCATTTTTTTTAAAAAAAAATGTAACAAGAATTGTCAGGGATATCCCACCATTTAAGAAAAAGATGACTAAAGAAGAGGTACCACCGTTTAGTTGTTCCTGGAAAATTTTTGCAAGAAGAGAGCTGGTGCAGACAACCCTACTTATTTGGGTCTCCACTAATGCATGGTGAATTCCGGACAGGGGGGAGTGACACAGATTGTAGGTACTATTGATATCATGGGGATGTCTAGAAACAGAGGCACTGCTGGCCCGTGGTTTGCTTGATTTGGGCAAAGCTTGGAGGCATTACTCTTCTAGATTACAACTCTCCAAATCCAGGTGTTATATTGATCCAGGAGTTAACCACAGAAATGAACATTACCAAGCTGTGGATTTTGGCTGCGACTGACTTCTCTGTACAGCTTCTTTCCCACAATGCACCACACCTTATTTTTCTTTTTCTTTCCTTTTTTAAAAATAGTCCAACATGTAATTGTTTGGTTCTGCCTCTAAATAGAAAACACATTGGCAGAATCACAGCCCGCAGGATCTCGGGAGAGATCAGTTCACAGGCTTACGAAAAGGCACGGCCTCTTAAGGCAAAGCAAACAAACAGCACAACAAGGGTGAGGAAACCCCCACCAGAACAAATCTGAAAAGCATTTCAGCTGGAAAGATTGACTGGGAACCAAACGAGAGACAGCTTCAAAACAAATAATTTCCCCAAAGGGCTATAAACAACAACCCCACCCCCCCAAAAATGCTGAAAGCAGCACAGAATGACAGGAATGGATGTGACGTGCTCTATTGCTGGGATTTACTGGTAATCTCTAGGACACCAGCTCTGAAAGCTGCTAGCGCTGGGATTTACTGGTAATCTCCACTGCTGCTCTAGGACACCAGCTCTGAAAGCTGCTAGCCTTCTTGTCTTCTCCCTTGGGTGGAATGACTTGGAATTCCACCAATACACTATGATCCATCTCTCAGGCAGAGAGATTGCGGCTGAGACAGTAAGTGGTTTTCTGCAAGGGTTGTGCATGACAGGGAAGTCTCCTCCAAGCTGGGACAGAGGAGGGCGAAACACTGAATCCAAGCCAGAGCCTCCTCCCTAGGGGTGGCAGCAAGGGGAGGTGTGTGTGGAAATGTTGCAATGCATAGCTGGAAGCTGCATGGCTGCGTGCCATGCATGGTCCGATCTCTCTCCTCCTTGGAGGAGCTCGCGTGTGGCTTGTGATGCAGTGAGCAAGTCCTTGGCACCAGAAGAAAAGATCTTGCCCAAGAGCATCTCATTTCCTGGAGCTCTCCCTCCCTGAATCCCCGGTGGGGCTCCCTTCGGCCTAGATGGCAAAACAGGGCCATGCAAACTCAGCAAGAGAAGGAGGAGGCTCCCTGTTCCATGTTGGGAACTATAGTCTCTGCCAGTAGTGGTGGTTCTTTTTCTTTTTCTTTTTCCTTTCCTTTTCTTCCACAAGAGTTAAAGGTTGTGTGTTAGACTTTTTTACTTCTTTCCAATACTGTAAGGTTCCTGTGCTTTCTTACCACCTCCATCCTACTTAAAAGAGCAGAATGAAAAATCATGGGGGACTCAAAGAGAAACACCACACCTTTTTTTTTCTTTTCCTTCCTTATATATATATATATAAGGCAAATAATGAAAATGGGCTAATAAAATAAATGAGAAGTATGGTCCTTCCTGGAGCCATCCCTGAATTTAGCAATTATATTTAGCAGCAAAGCAGACTTCACTTCTCATCATCCAGGGACTCCTGATGTACCTAAGTATATCCTTATGTTAATGTTACAATAGAAATAGTCCTACATATATCATACCTGAGGTCTGGGTTTGTGTCCTTTTGACCATTTGTAATGGACAGAATGGGCCTGTTCTGTTCCTTTTTGTGATAAGGGACTTTTCTCCTTCCTATCACTAAAACAACAGAGTCCTATGACATTTTGAATACTAGATACAGTATTGAGGCTTATACCAGGATCCTCTTCAGGTGAAATTGTAAAATAAATGAGTTACAATATAATGGAAACATATTTTGTAAGAAGTCCTATCAAGTCCATTGATTTTTCCCTTTAAAAGTATAGATACGTTTGTAGCCGTAGGAGCAAAGTAGATGTTCCCCCAAAAATGTGTTCTCTGCAGTTAACCCCATGTAGCACTTCCTCAGAGATGCATGCCTGACCAATCAGATTTTCAATGTACAGTATGTTCATGATTCTCTTTCAGTGAGCAATCACAGAACAAAGCACAGTGGAATGTAAGATACAGAAGAGAAGAAAAGCATGTTCTATGACAAACAGATGTTTGTCACCACGTGATGGAGCAGTACTTCCAATTACATGCTAAGTTTATCATTTATTTTAACCCTTAGGCTATCTAAATCCAGAGGCTAGACACAACTAGAGTTGAATCATTGAAACAATGGCACTTATCTAAGTTTGATGTACCAAATACCAAGAGAGGGTGACTATACAGGCATTGTTCCCACAGTTTGGTCCACTTTGTTGGCAGCCAGATAACATAATTTCAAGCATGATCCAGCCTGCCTCCAGAGCATTTCTCCCTGTCAGAGGCTACTATTTTTAGGTGTGGGTAGGATCACTCTGCGGGACTGCCTGTGGTCTCTTCTTTCCCTCAAAAATGAAAAATTGTTCCCTTTAGAGAGAAAGATTTATCAAGACTATTAAGCAATTAGCTGTCCCTTTGGAAAACCCATTTCACAATGTTCGGAAGTGGGAAGCTTTCCCTCATCTTTGGAGGAGAAGTTTTGCATATCTTTTTAAGGTTTACTAACTGATAAAGTGCATCAGTGATGCTTTGACAGGGCTTTAAAAACACTACAAAGCATTAGCAACACTTTAAAAAAGAAATGCAAAACTTTGCCTCTCCCCTGCCCAGTTTCCATTTCTCAAGGTTGTTAATCATCTCCGAAGGAACAGCCAGCCACCTGTTTAAAGATCTTGAGGAATCTTTCCCTATAAAGGAAAATAATCTTTCCTTTTAACAGGAAAGAAGAGCCGGGTCATGCCTGAGGTGCAGTGTGGTTTCCTGACCCAAAACCACCTGATCCTTGCATGTAGATGCACAGATCACACCACTCACTTCTATGCAGCCTTAACCAACCTTAAGTAACCCTGTTTAACCCACTTCACCCTATTTAACCCACTCCTGCTCCTATCTGGCCATCTAGTGAAGGCCTATCTTTAAGATACCATAGGACAGTGTCCTTCACATGCTGCAACAGAATCCCATTGCCTTCTGAGTATGTATCCATGCTCAACCATTCTCTTTCATGTGTTGAGGGATAGAGCAGAGACACACTGACTAGCACTGCCTCCTTTATATTCCCATTGCTGACTTCATCTTTCTTCCACTGGAGGGTGCATATCTAAAGTGGACACATGTTCCCTCTCACCATAGCAGACACATAGAGGACAGTGAGATTGAGCAAATCTACAGGGTGGAGCTACTTAAGTATGTCCTTGCTCTCCGTGTGCAACTCTGATCACCAAGGCCACCCCATCTGTTAGATATAATGAAGCTAGTCTCTTATGTGGCAGATGTTGTTGCTAGTGAGCAGTGGCAGCAGCCCCTTTCGTTTT